TTAACCCAGATTAAGAGGGATTAATTTAATCCACCACCAGCTGCATGCATCCTTCCCTTCTATCTTAAAATGATTCAAATCCTGAACACTTTTAAGTTATTGGATTATTTATCATAAGTGGACCTTTTCTTTGAATATTAATCTATTTTCTTGATTACAACATCTTCTTGGCATAACTAAAAGGTAGAGTATCTGACTGAAGACCTAAAGTTTTACAAATATTAATACCAGATTGTGTAAAAGATTCAAAATTTATTTCTGAATGTCAAATATTGAACTCCTAAAATCTTTATCAACATTAAATAGATTTTTTTTACTCACATGTACTATATACATCAGGATAATGAAATTAACAATATATAAAGTTTTGCACCTGTGTAGAAGAAATCCACTTACCATAAAAAAAGCTGAGGGCGTGCACCTGTCGATGCCATTAGCTTCATGATTACTAAGCAAAACTGAGGAAGATTCATTCTGTCATTTATAGCAGAAAATGTTTGATGGGATATGCTGCCTACAGGGTTAATGGAATAACCAGATGTACAGCCTAGAGATGTGCATACCTGTTTTCAAGTGATAGTTCCACATGCCATGTTTAATGGATATCAGTTATCAGTTATCTCCTGTTAATTTCCCTCTGAAAGTTCTCCACTACCTTAACCAGGCATTGAACTCACACTCTTTGGGTCCTGTCACTGGATCTAACCAACACCTTTATCCACAGCACATGGAACTAGAACAGTCTACCCCAGTGAGCGAAATAAAGGGTTAAGTTCGACATTCGAACCACCTGAAGAAGACCGGAGTATACAATGGCCGAAACGTTCTAATAAATATAGCGACAAAGATGAGAACAATAGTCCTAATAATGTAAATAATGTACAATTCATCATATCCAATCTTGGGTAATCAAATTCTTACTGCCATCAGAAGACTTCCTAATATTTAACATAGGGTACATAAGTTAATCCAAGAATTTAATAGGTAAAGTCTAATGGGTCTCTTCCAGGTTGCGTGTGTGTGTATGTGCATAAATGAAGATATCTAAGTGTGTGTTAGTGCAGTCAGCTGTATGAGTAGGCATTATTAACGTGGACAAATGCATCCATTTTTGTTAATTTCTGTGAATTCCTGTCAAATTAAATTTTGACCGTGTGACCATTAGGATATCGGTCAGCCCATCGGTCTCCCACACCCTCCCCCTACCCAGACTCTCTTACCTCCATAATATAATTCCAGTAATGATGTCTTCTTCTTCCCCCCTTACCTCCCAATAGGTCTCCAATAACACACCCTCTCTCTCTCTTTCTCCAAATAAACAGTACACTACAAACTGATACCAGAAACAGTTTGAAAAATCCTGCGAATTTTAAAATTAAAATTCGTAGTTGAAAATGATTATTTACTAAAGGTATCTTAATTCCAATTGTAAAGAAAATTTGCTCTGTTTTTTGAAAATAAATCTAGAGCACTCTTTTGTGAGTCAGTTTTAACATATTTCAAATTCTATGTTGTGTTAATAGAACTCATCTGAATTATACCAATGGATTGCTACCTATATATATATATATATATATATATATATATATATATATATGTGTGTATATGTTCCATTTAAGCTCTGGAGTGAACTTGTGTTCAAATAAATGTTTAAGGTAACTGAAGAAAAAAATGAAAGAACTGCTTGTCCTAGAGTGGCTGCTGCACAAAACAAGAGCACTCAATCTACCCTGCTATTTAACCTAAGAAGAGAAGAAATGAAGTTATGTTACCTTGAGGGCATTTGTGCAAAAGTGAATGCAGCACACAAGGTGGGAATTTGAACACTGCATGATGAAAACCATTCTGCCTCCTGTTTGACATTATTTTTGTCCAGCATGGAATACCCAAAGTTAGCTTAGAGTTGATTTATTGAGAATCTGCGTTTTGCAAAGATTTTGAGGAGAGACATTTTAGAATATAAAAGATGGAGACAAACATGATTGGCAGTGCTTTTGAATTCAGAACAGAAACATATATTGGAATTGCACCATTGCCAACCAAGAATTCACTGTTCTGTGGTTGTGCCTCATGTTTATTAAATAATAAATACTCAGCAAGAGAGTAAAATATTAATACATTACTTGAAATCTTATTATTGGGGACACATTGTATTCAAAATAGACGCCCTATTAAACAGTGCATATTACCTCCATTAGCATGTTCATTTAGCAAAGATGTGTTCACCTCTTTGTAAAAAGGAAAAATAGAACCTTTTTTTTTTGCTGTGACATTTGCGGTGTCTGTGTAATAAAGTACCTCAGATTAAATGGGGGGTTCCCTCTACAAATAGAAGATAATAACAGTTAAAGTAATATATATATATATATATATATATATATATAATTTAACATAGAAAATCTAATTTTCTAGGAAGGGAATAGGTGAATAATTTTAATCATTTATTTACAGTATCTGTCTATATTTCTGAGATGAGGTATTATGTACATTATTTACAGTCCTCATCTTTGTCGCCATATTTATTACAATGTTTCAGCCGTTGTACGCTCCAGCCTTCCTCAGATAGTTGGAATGTCGAACTTAACCCTTTATTTCGTTCACTGGGGTAGACTGTTCAAGTTCCATGTGCCATGTTTAATGGATGTCAGTTATCAGTTATCTCCTGTTAATTTCCCTCTGAAAGTTCTCCATTGCATTAGACGGGTATTGAACTCACACTCTTTGGGTCCTGTCACTGGATCTAACTAATGCTTTTATCCACTGGCCAAAGACAGATATAGCATTGTCAAGACTGCATATAAATTTTGCATGTTCTATCAGTGGATCATATTATCTTGTCATAGTTGATATTTTCAGAAAATGGTTGGAAGTTTATAAGTGCAAAAATCCAACATCAGTGAATTTCTTGCATGAACAGTTTGTGAGATATGGTATAACAGATACCATAGTATCTGATAATAGAATGCAATGTTTGCCAGAAGTGTAAAATCAGTGTTTGACAAGTTATTACCAAGTCAAAAGAAACGAACGGTTAACATAAGTGACACCAAAAGTTTCAAGTTTGTCGATTAAGTATAATAACCTCATCCACATGTTTCAGAAAATAAACGTCCCTATAATTCTAGATACATACTCGCAACCCATACATCCAGTTAAAATAAAATCATCCTTGATAATTGCTGAAAGTATATCCAAAAGTGCTCGGAATTACATTTGGACAGTTTCTATACACTCTGTGTCCAGAAAAGAAAACACTTGTTCGAACACAAGAAAAATTGAATAAAAAGCTGAATTGCAGTACCTTGTCTGTTATCTTTAATCAAGCACACATGCACGCACACACACACACACATATATATATATATATATATATATATATATATATATATATATGTGTGTGTGTGTGTTTTTTTTATAAAAGTGCATAAAATTGTCCGAATTTTCTGCATATCTAAGCACTTTCAGCTCTTAGCCATTATCAAGGACTATTTTTATATTTTATTTTTAACTGAATGTATGCATACAGAATGGTTTATTTTTGAAACATGGTCAGCACCTCATGGCCATATTCATAGTTGATGTTATTCAGTGATGGCTTTTTCTTATTTATTATTAGAGTTTCCATTATTTTAAATTTCTCTCGTGTGAGTGAGACCGTAAGACTTGTATTTTCTAAAAGTAGGTTGCCAATGAAGTTTGGTAGGCTTCCATGCGTTTTTAACTGTCCTAATTAAACTATGGTCAGGTAAATATAATGTAAGTCTTCTTGATATGCAGGTAGTGGTATGTCCAATATAATTATTCATGAGTTTGGTTTGATCTGGAAAGCAGTTACTTAAGGGGCAAGTGAATTCACAAATAATTGGTTTGATGTTGCTGGTGTGTTGTTATTGTTCATAAAGTTGGGATTGTGTAATTCTTTATAATGTTTCTAAGAAAAAAAATTTATCTTTATAGTTAACATGTATTTAGCTTTTATAAAAAATATTATTGCTTTTATCTGTATATTCCATATTGCTATTAGTTACTTTAGAAAGAACACAAGCAAAATAATTAAATAAAAGCTTAATTGCAGTAACTTGTCAGTTATCTTTCATGAAACATACATTATATATATATATATATATATACATACATAGTCATCCATAGACAGACTGTTTTGCTATTTTACAGCTCATCATGGCAAGACATCCAATTGCCTTAAGTCAGGATTGAAATCCAACAGATTTGGCATCAATCGGAGAATCTACCACTAAGCCATTGGTGCATGGCAGGGAAGAAGGTGAATTTAAACATACTTATTTTTAGATAAACATGGTAGTGACTGGGAGAACTTGATTCATTTTATTGAAGAGTAGCATACATACATACATACATACACACACACACACACACACACACACACATATATATATATATATATATATATATATATATTATGAAATGGACAAAGTCTGACAATTATTTTTAAGACATTTTTATGTTTATACATTCTTTTTATAGATACAAATATTTAAGTAAATGCTCTGTTTATAATAAACAGTATTAAACAACTTTTACCGGCCTGAATGTTCGAGAAATTTTAATAGAAAATATTCGTTCTCTGACAGGAATCCAACCTGTATTCTATATGGAACTGTCATTTAGCCAGACATGCGCTTAACCGATCAAGCCACAGAGAATTATTCAATTAGCAAGGTCGAATTTACTGCCTTTAAACTTCAATCTTCCATGATTCTCACATGTACATTCATATCTGCTCATGGCATATTCAAATGTAAACAAATGATGTCACACATTGTGAAATGGACAAAGTCCGGCAATTATTTTTAAGACATTCAGGCCAGTAAATGTTGTTTAATACTTTTTATTATAAAACAGAGCATTTACTTAAATATTTGTACCTATATAAAGAATGCATAAACATAAAAGTGTTTATTATATATATATATATATATATATATATATATATATAGTAAAGTAAAAGCTGCTCTATTGACCTAGATAGATAGATAAATGCATAGATAGATAGATAGATAGATAGATAGATGCATAGATAGTATTGGTAAATTCGGTCGTAAATGTGTAATTATATGAAAACTTTTTCTTTGTAGTTAAGCAGTATGTCACAGTTTTATACATTTCATAACGTTAGACTAATTTGAATAAAAGCCTCCCAAAAAAGAATGGATAGAATCTACGGAATCTTGTCTGCTATACTGATTACATCCAATTCTTGAAAATAACTGTAACAATCGAAAATATTCGCACAAAAATGGTTTATCCACAATTTTCATCTTAAATCGTAAACAAACGCTGACATAGATATGTAAAGTATGAAAATATGTTTTGTTTGATTTGTAAATTAAGTAATTTGCTTGACTGATCTCACATCTATATTAGGTATATCACTGATGTTGAGCGCTTTCCAATAAATACCGCGCATATATAATATATAAATAATATATATATATAAAATATATATATATATATATATATATATATATATATATATATATAAAAACTTAAACTTGCTTTAATTTTTTATATTTTTGGACCCCTATCTACACCCTTTTTTCTTTATTTACACCCCAATATTATATTTGACTTCTTTTAAATTTGAGCTGTGAATCTGCATTTAATTTAGCGTTTCTTCCATGCGAGCCAGTGTATTATTTATTTTTAAATCATAAGTAATATTTCGTGCCTGATGAGTTGGTAAATAATGGAACTTAAGTTGCACCCTAAACGTAGGTATATGTATATTAATATATATTTCTTAGATCTGCCTGACCACATGAAGCACTGTTATGTTTACACCTTAAAGTAAATTTGGTAAATATTTATTTGCTTACCTGTGTATGCACATGCTAGTGTGCATATACACTTGCTGATATCTCGTTATTTGATTTACCCACCTCTATATATATATATATATATATATATATATATATATATGTATGTATGTTCTCTTAGCTGTTGAATGTCTCTCATCTTAGCTTCACAGTCACACTCACTCTTCAGGAAAAGAATGGTGAAGTTTGCTATCAATTCTCTTAAAGAATTAATGTCATTCTATGAAATTCTGATGAGACATAAGTCAACAAATTCAATTCATTCGTTATTATTATTATTATTTCTGCTGCCCTTCTTTATATTGGGTAATATATTTACAAAGACTGTCATAAGATAGGCAAATGACATTGTGTTAATGGCAGGCACAGAAAAGTGTAGGAACTCTAAGATAAGGTAGCAAAGGAAAGCAGAAAGAAAAGATTAACCATTAATTGAAAGAAGGCAGACTGGATTGTTGTTAGCAAAAGGGACAGCTCTACAAATTGGAGATGTCAAAAATAAATCACTCTATGGTTGTCAGCCATAATGAATGACTAAAAGATGAACAAAATGAATGAATGGTGTAACGAGCACCAGGTCATATCTGTTGAACTCTCTGCTTTGGCAGAGAGGAACCCGGACGAAGATTTGCCGAAGGGCAGGGTTTCGTCCGGGGAGGTAGACAGGCCCTGAACTCGTCTATGCCGGTTCAAAGGGTATATTTTTGGCTGAGCCTACGGGCTTGGAGAAACCCACTTTAATCTCGGCCTCGTGCCATATACATTCCTCGTGGGTGGGATATTAAATACAATGAATGACTAAAAGATGCAAACCATGAATTGAAGATATCAAAATTAAGCAAGTAAATGAACTTAAATATCTGGGAACTCTTTTAACAGATGCGGATAAATGAGGCACTGAAAGTTAAAGTTGCATTCGTATAATGAAAGCTGCCTCACAAAATCTAAATCTAAAACAACAATTTTGCGAGAAACAAAGTAAAGAGTGTTGAACTGCTATGTAATATTGACCTTCCTGTACAAAAATGAATGCTGGACAATTTCCTCAAAGATGAAAAGGCGACATGAGGTAACAAATTTTGTCCTGTAACCCTAACAAGACTACAATGAACTGAACTTATGAGCAATGAAGAAGTTTTAAGAAAATTTGGAAAGAAAAGGGAACTTAGATTTAGAAACAGAAAAAAGTCAATTTTTGAAACACAAAATGAGGAAAGAATTCTTGGAGGATTTGATACTTAGCAAACATATTGAAAACAAGAAGGACTGATGTGGGGAAAAAGATGAGAAAGCAGAGAATGGAAGTGGCAGTTAAAAACGAAAAGAGTTAAAAAAAATAAACAATATTAAAAGCTACAAAGGATAGTGTTGCCTCCTTAAATCCTTAAAGAAGTTACAAACGGACAAAGGTGGTACTCAAGTGAAAGGAACAGCAACGCACATGGATGAAAGAAGGAGAGGTTTATTGTAAAATAGAATACACTACTGAAAGAAAGGGAATCAGTTAGGAAGCTAGTAATTCCTGAAGCAAATTCACTAGGTATATCCTGTGCACACATATATATATATATATATATATATATATATATATATATATATATATATATATATATATATATAGATATAATCCCCATAATAGGCGATAGGGAGAGTGGGACATTCCTTTACAAATGATAGAACAGTATGTGGAGCTATGATTACCTATGTTCCGAGGGGACACAGCATATTAAATGGTTATTTACATTAGGATATGAAACTGAACAGATATATATATTTCAAGAGTCCAGGAAAGATTTGTATTTAAAGAAAACATTCAACTTTGCTTTGTGGCTGAGAGGTATGAAACACATTGGATTTAACAACATTTTTCTCTGACCAGCGAATATTTTTTGGATATAATTTCTAAAATATTCAGGCCACTAGAAAAAAAATATACTGTTTACTCAAATATGGGCATCCACTATATATATATATATATATATATATATATATATTTATTTGGGTAATATATTTACAAAGACTGTCATAAGATAGGCAAATGACATTGTGTTAATGACAGGCACAGAAAAGTGTAGGAACTCCAAGATAAGGTAGCAAAGGAAAGCAGGAAGAAAAGATTAACCATTCATTGAAAGAAGGCAGAACGGAGGGACGTTTGGGAACCTTGTGGCACGTAGTGCACCAGGTCTCTGAATTCGGCCCTTCAAAAAGTGTGGATGGTCCTGTACGAAACCTTCACCACTATAATCAAATCTCATGTGCTGGTGTCGGGCTGTCGGTTTCCTGGAAAACTGATCTGCTTGACCCTCATACGTCGAATCTCGACGGGAGAGTCGATTTTATATATATATATATATATATATATATATATATATATGGAAGTTTCAGGTGAATATATTTACTTCAATTATATATATATATATATATATATATAAAATATTAATAAAAGGAAATAAGTTTATATATAGATGTTGGTTTAATAATTGTAATGGGAGAAAAGCAGAAAAAATAAAAAAATAGAAATATTTAACAAATTAGGATTTACAAAAGACATAAAATCTAATCTAAAAATAGTAAATTTTCTAGACATAACATTTAATTTAAATAATATCTATACGTGCCATATAGGAAAGCAAATAATAATCCCATATATATAAACAAAAATTTAAGTCACCCACCCAATGTATTTAAGCATATACCAATATCTATTAATAAAAGAATTTTAACTAATTCTAGCAATATAAAAATATTTAATGAAAATAAAAAATACAAGATTCAGCATTAAGAAAAAGAGTTTATTCAAATAAATGCATAATTAACAATAACACATACAAAAATAGACAAAAAAGAAATATAATTTTCTTTAATCCACCTTATAATTATATAATAAAAGGAAAAATAGGAAAAATATTTTTTAAATTAATGTAAAACACTTCCCTAAAAATAGTAAACTATCAAAAATTATTAATAAAAATGCAATTAAAATCAGTTACAGTTGTATGAATAATATGGAGAAAATAATAAACATAATAAAAAATATTAAACAAAAATAATAGCAATTACAACAACAAAAACCTGCAACATAGCAACAACATTTGTAATATTCAAAATAAAAACTGCTGCCTACTTAATAAGCAATGTCTAATTAATAATATAATGTATGAAGCAACTGCAGCAAATAACATTAACGCAGAAAAAAATTTATAAATGAAAGAAATTTTAAAGAAAGATTTAATAATTATAAAATGTCATTTAAATTAGACAGATACACACATACTACACCATCAAAATATATATGGAGACGAAAAGGAAAAATATATAAATTAAAATTAAATGGGAAATCATAAAAATGTATCCAATATAATATTAATAATAGAAAATGTAGACTGTGTTTAGAAGAAAAATTTTACATAATAAATTTCAATAATCAAATTAAATTATTAAATAAGAAAAATGAATTAATGTTTAAAAGCAGACATTTTAATAAATATCTACTTTGCAGCTTAAATACTAATATAACATAAATAAAATAATATAACAATATAATAAATACAACAGAAAATAATATAAATTAAATAGTAATATAACATAATAATACAATACATACATATGTATAAAAACAATCAAAGATATACATACAAACAAAAATAACAATGAAAAATAAAATTACAAAATAAACAATTGAAAAACAATTATGTTTCTGAAGGAACACGTGAGCACATGTAAAAACATGAAAAATAGTGCATCCCTAATGGAATTAAAAAAAAAAAGACACAAATATGAATATTGGGAAAAAAAACGGATATTCATTACAATTGGAAATATTTAATATACAGGTCAACCTCTTGAAAAGTAGATATATTACCATGAAACTACAGAGGTGGGGTAAATTGCAGTTAAGTAATTTTTTGTATATATATATATATATATATATATATATATATATATATATATATATATATATAGTTATTCAGCATACAGGTCTGTTTTGCTGTATCATGACTCATCAGTGCGACTAGACAACTGAAGCCAAGATCAAAACCCAACAGATCTGGTATCAGTCAGAGTTTTTATTCCTAAGCCATTGGCGCTTCAGCAGAGAGAAAGACAAATTCTAGCGTATTGTTTTTATGAATGTAAACAAATGCCAGACAGCCAGAGTGCACTATTCATTAATGAAGGGTGATGCCTTAGTGCCAAGGATTATTACAAATATAAAACATGTCATCTAACTGATTCAGCAGCTTGACT